TTTTTTGCATGCACGTGGGCTACTTTTAGAAGTTGGTTTTCAGCCATTTCATTTGGCTATATAAGGAGCATGCGGCAGATGGTGTTGGTGTGTGTTGTGTGGAAGAGTCAGAGAGAGTTGTGTGAGTCTTGTGTGCTGCACCAGAGGGAAGAAGCCGAGAGAGAGGGAAGAAGCCGAGAGAGAAGGAGAGAACACCATCTGCAAAAACCATTAGTATTCCACTCCAATTCTGTGAGAGTGAGAGAGTTCATTGTGTTCCACTCTAAGTGTGTGAGTGAGGTAAAAACAGGAGAGTATAGTGTGGTGTCATTGTACTTTCTCTGTGTGTATCATCAAGCCCTGGGCATTGGCTTGGTAAGATCTGTCTTGTTGTACCCATTATTTTGTTATAGTGGAAGAAGTTTATATTGCTGCCCCGTGGACGTAGGCATTGCCGAACCACGTTAATTTCTGGTGTTCTTTATTTTTCTGCAATTTCATTCTAGCACTAACCGATCCTAACAAAGAAAACCTCCTCAATGTGTAGGGGATGGTGATGGATAGAACTAGGCCAATTTTTTTACATTTACTAGATTCATAGGGATAGCTGCTGTTCAGTTGATTTACGATGCGCAGGGTATACTGTGCATATATTTTAGAGGTAGGAGGCAGAGATGTCGGATTAGCCAATGCCAAATAAAGAGAGAGATGGCTACCCGTCCCACCGTGTCTTCCCTTCGGATACAGTTGTATCTTCCTGCAACAAGCAACAAACATTTTTAGATAAGATTACCTGCACTTAATAACTTCTGCAGCAAGTTTAGTTTTCATCTGCAAACTTTACTGCTTTTGGGCACATAATTTAATCAACACATCTCCTTTGTCTTGGTTTTTTTTGGGTTTTGGTTGGTAAACTTTCTCTAGCACTTTAACTGATTCTTTACCAACTTCATGTGAGTAAAATTTGCAAGAGAGAGAGAGAGAGATAAGGAGGAAATAAAAAGCCTGTAAGGAAGGACATATTAATCAATGAGGAGGCTTATGCACCATTTTTGGTCTCCAACAATGAATGTTTGTGAGTCATTGCTCTCCGCGTTTAACTTTGAGAATTTGTCAATTTTCCAAACATGCTTGTACATAACGGCATCCTTGATCATTGATAGACACTCTCCTTTGCATATGCTTTTTTCTTTACGAACGAAGACCTCCGCTCCAAACACGCAGGCATCTTCCATGACATATCCATTGGAAGTGTCAGTAAAAGCTTTGAGAGAGAGGAATTGATCAAATCCCCAGTCAAGCTTCATCCCATGGAAGCGCCTTTCATTTTTTTCTAAGCAATTAATACATATGACATAAAAAGAAAAGAATCAGAATATGGGGCAGTACTTTGTATACATGAGAAACATTGGCTTATCTGTTCTCTGCTGTATGTTTAAGAATTAAATGAAAAGAAATGGTACCTTGAAGAGCCAAGTACTTGCCAGTATTCTGGTCCAGCAAAAACAACCTGAAAGCAGCATGCACTTCCCAACAAGTCTGGGGGCCATTTGCTCCAGCCAATACTAAGTAGAGAGAGATGTGCTCTTTCACATTCCTGCTCTTGTTTCCATTTGGATAGAAAACCAATTTCCTGCAGCAAAACCACAATTGATAGTACTCTAGTGCACCTTGAACATAAGAAGTTTGTTTACGAAATGAGAGAAAGGAATAGTGTACCATTTGTATCCTCCAGCTTCAAACACCCCTGATTCATATTTCTCCAGTGAATGTACGGATAGCAATGAAAGCGACTGTATTTTGATCATGTAATGAGTTGGAGGTGCATCTGAAATTGTTCTCAAAATCCATGGAATTAAAATGTTGGCAACACAAACAAGAACCTATCAGGGATGTATACATCAGGTGTCTGTAACATGCCATGTTTACATTAGCTAGTGCTTTCAACAAACACACGCAAACAGATAGCGATAGAACCTTACCGTCCTGTTCATCGAAGTTAAGACTAGTCATGTTCATGGCAAAAAACTTGACTGCCGGACTTTGAAGGTGCTGATAATTGATGCAGGTTACAAGATTCAGAATGGGTTTTCAGCTTTTAAAAGGAGAAATAAAAGGTGTTATTCCAAACTTGAAACTTTTTAAGGATAGGACACTTATGCTTTGCTTTTGCAGGATAGTATTTTGTTATTTTGTTTTTCAAGGAAAAGGTCTCGATGACCTGCTTGTAGGTGTTTTGAATCATGTACCTATTCGAGATCCCACGCAACCACGTTTATTAAGGTTGAGAGAGAGAGAGAGAGAGAGAGAGAGAGAGAGAGTGTGTGTGTGTGTGACTAACTTTTTCATGCCACACCTAGACCATGCAAAAGTATAATTGAGACCACTTTGCTGTCTTTGTTCAATTTGAGCATACCATCCACAAAATTTATTCACAGCAAGTTGAATTGTTGTTGACCAACGGTGCATTAAAGAATTGGCAGTCCGATCACTCACAAAGCTTTTGTATTCATGGAAGTATTCCCAAATTCTCTTCCAATATGTTCCACTTTTTTGCTCATTTCCTTGTAACGCATCCAAGCTGGCGTTGAGCCAAGTTGATACAAGGAGATTGTCTTCTTCCGTTGTGAGGTTGCGTGATCGTTGTTTTTTTTTTTGTTGGCTGACTGATTGAGTTTGCAACTCTTCGGTTATTGATTGATTGGCCATGCCATCCGTTGAATGTTGATTATCATTAAATAAAATGCAGAAAAAAAAAATAAAAAAAATAAAAGACATCATTAAATAAATGTTTAAAATAATAATAAATTATAGTAGCATTTAATTATAAGGAGTCACTAGGAGCCATTTCTCTCTCCTCAGATTTAGGAGCTCCTAGAGGTCTCCCTATTTTAGGAGCTGGATAGGGAGCATAATTGAAGGTGGATTTTTTCAATTCCTCCCTAAACAAGTGCTTTTCTCTCCTCTTGTAAGATTCTCTCTCCCCTCTGCGTGGGAGTTTACTTCACTGTACTATCCGCAGTTCGTTATAATCTGAATGTAGCTACTTAGTTCTAGAAGTTCTTAACACAGATTGAATTGCGTTCTGGAAAATTTTAGCCCAATCGGTTTTGCATTCTCACTTTAAGGAGAATAACCCTGTATACCGTGTTCCCTTGTGTTGTATAGATTCTTGGTTCCTAGAGACATGTCTGTCGGGCAGTTTATTCATATCTTAAGCAGCAGGCTTCACTTGACTCCTGGGAAAGCTCTTTTTGTCTTTGTGAAGAACACATTACCTAAAACAGGTAAAACGCGCATTATTGATTCGGCTACATTGAGAACTTGTTAACACATTTTTCTGTGGATTTCATTTACAGAAATCCATCTATGAAAGTTACAAGGAGGATGATGGTTTTCTGTATATGTGTTACAGCAGCGAGAAAACCTTCGGCTGATCTTTCCATCTCCTCCCCTAATTTATCAAATCGTTCATATTAGCAACTTGTAAGTATCTTTTGTTAACTTGTTCTCATTGCGAAGGGGCCTGTGAGGCTTGCTTCACTGTATTCTTTCATGGTCATTGTAAATTTGATTTATTGTGAATTCTGTAAAGTTCATAACATTCAATAATTCCATATTTTCTTTCCATTCTCTACTTTCTATAATTAATAGCCATCATATAAGTGGGTTCAATATTATCTAACAAGTCCTACCCAAAAAGTTATCTTACCAGAAAGAAAACTTGTAACCATGCTTTGTGCTATGAGAATGTGCTTGCCTATCTTTTAAAATTATCCCCTTCTTTCCATGTTCAATATGGTAATTTCCATACTAATCGGCAGTAGACTATCAACGGAATAAAATCGAAGAAGTTACCTTGGATAAAAAAAGACGAAAAAAAAAGAAATGCAGAGGATCAAGATGCAGCCATATTCGCAAGAAGATGGATGGGTATCAGAAATTCCATGGAAGCAAAGTTACATGCCGGAAAAAGTTGCGCGAAAGGAAAACAAAAAGAAGACATAAATGATATTATTATTCTGATCACCGAAGGCCAGAAGAAGTGATACAACCATATTATTCATAACTGAGTTAATAATTTTTCAACACCATATTTGAGACAAGGTTTTTGATACATGCAGCTACAGGCAGGAGCTTACTATTTATTTTACTCTAGCGCACTAGCGGTTCCTTGCACAGTGACCTCTACCTCCACGGTGCAACTATCCTTCACCAAGTATCGAGTCGAATTGAAAGATTCGGCTGAAATGAATCTCGGCCAGCCCCTCTTGGGACTGGAGGCACTGAACCACCAAGAAACTGCAAAGATGAAATGAAAAAGAAGAAGAAAAATGAATGAAGTGCTAAACACCAATAATCAAAAAGTGCAAAGAAAAGAAAACCTCCTCACTGTGTAGGGGATGGTGATGGATAGAACTAGGCCAATTTTTTACCTTTATTATATTGATAGTGATAGCCGGACCCGTACATTTGATCTATGATGCGCAGGGTAAACTCTGCACATATTTTAGAGGTTGGAGGCAGAGATGTCTGATCAGCCAATGCCAAATAAAGAGAGAGATGGCTACCCGTCCCGCTGTCTCTTCCCTTCGGATACAGTTCTATCTTCCTGCAATAAGCAACAAGCATTTTTAGATAAGATTACCTGCACTTAATAACTTCTGCAGCAAGTTTAGTTTTCATTTGCAAACTTTACTGCGTTTTGGGCAGATAATTTACTCAACACATCTCCTTTATTTTGTTACTTCGTTATTTTGTTTTGGTTGTTAAACTTTCTCTAACACTTTAACTGATTCTTTACCGTCTTCATGCAAGTAAAATTTGCACACGGAGAGAGAGAGAGAGAGAGAGAGAGAGAGAGAGAGAGAGAGAGAGTGATAGATAGATAAGGAGGAAATCAAAAGCCTGTAAAGAAGGATGTATTAATCAATGAGGAGGCTTATGTACCATTTCTGGTCTCCAGCAATGAATGTTTTTGAGTCATAGCTCTCTGCGTTTAACTTTGAGAAGTTGTCAATTTTCCAAACATGCTTGTACATAACGGCATCCTTGATCATTGATAGACACTCTCCTTTGCATGTGCTTTTTTCTTTATGAACGAAGACCTCCGCTCCAAACACGCAGGCATCAGCCATGAGAAATCCATTGGAAGTGCCAGTAAAAGCTTCGAGAGAGAGGAATTGATCAAATCCCCAGTCAAGCTTCATCCCATGGAAGTGCCTTTCATTTTTTTCTAAGAAATTAATACATATGACAAAAAAAGAAAAGAATCAGAATATGGGGCAGTACTTTGTATACATGAGATGGCTTATCTGTTCTCTGCTGTATGTATAAGAATTAAATGAAAAGAAATGGTACCTTGAAGAGCCAAGTACTTGCCAGTATTCTGATCAAGCAAAAACAACCTGAAAGCAGCATGCACTTCCCAACAAGTCTGGGAGACATTTGCTCCAGCCAATACTAAGTAGAGAGAGATGTGCTCTTTCACATTCCTGCTCTTGTTTCCATTTGGATAGAAAACCAATTTCCTGCACAGCAAAACCACAATTGATAGTACTCTAATGCAGCTTGAACATAAGAAGTAAATAATAATTAACAACGAATGCAAATTAAGGTTATGAGAACAGAGTCACATAAGTATAAGAACTTGTTTACGAAATGAGAGAGAATTGTACCATTTGTATCCTCCAGCTTCAAACTCCCCTGATTCATATTTCTCCAGTGAATATTTGGACAGCAATGAAAGCGACTGTATTTTGATCGTGTAATGAGTTGGCGGCGCATCAGAAATTGTTCTCAAAATCCCTGCAATTAAAATGTTGGCAACACAAACAAGAAGGTGTGAGGGATGTATACATTAGGTGTCTGTAACATGCCATGTTTACATTAGCTAGTGCTTTCAACAAACACATGTAAACAGATAGCGACAGAACCTTACCGTCTTGTTCATCCAAGTTAAGACTAGACATGTTCGTGGCAAAAGACTTGACTGCCGAACTTTGAAGGTGCTGATAATTGATGCAGGTTACAAGATTCAGAATGGGTTTTCAGCTTTTAAAAGAAGAAATAAAAGGTGTTATTCCAAACTTGAAACTTTTTAAGGATAGGACACTTATGCTTTGCTTTTGCAGGATACTATTTTGTTGTTTTGTTTTCAAGGAAAAGGTCTCGATGACCTGCTTGTAGGTGTTTTGAATCATGTACCCATTCGAGATCCCACGCAACCACGTTTATTAAGGTTGAGAAAGAGAGAGAGAGAGAGTGTGTGTGTGTCTCACTTTTTCATGCCACACCTGGACCATGCAAAAGTATAAAAAAAAAGTAACTGAATTATAAAATGAAACAATATATATATATAATTTCACATATAATGTTACCTTATCTTGTTTATTGAGACCACTTTGATGTCTTTGTTCAATTTGAGCATACCATCCACAAAACTTATTCACAGCAAGTAGAATTGTTGACCAACGGTGCATTAAAGAATTGGCAGTCCGATCACTCACAAAGCTTTTTGTATTCATGGAAGTATTCCCAAATTCTCTTCCAATATGTTCCACTTTTTTACTCATTTCCTTGTAACGCATCCAAGCCGATCAAGTTTGTCTTCTTCCGTTGTGAAGTTGCCAGATCGTTGCTTTTTTTTTTTGTTGGCTGATTGAGTTTGCAACTCCTCGTTTATAGATTGATTGGCCATGCCATCCATTGAATGCAGAAAAAATAAAATAAAATTGAAGACATCATTAAATAAATGTTTAAAATAATAATAAAATATAGTAGCATTTAATTATAGGGAGTCACTAGGAGCCCTTTATCTCTTCTCAGATTTAGGAGCTCCTAGAGGTCTCCCTATTTTAGGAGCTGGATAGGGAGCATGATTAGAGATGGGTTTTTTCAATTCCTCCATAAGTTTTAGCTAAGGAGGTGGTTTAGGAAGCTCATTGTGGATGCTCTAAGTAGCTTTCTGCATGCTATATGAGGCATGTCTCTTGATCTCTTTGTATTAATTTTTCAATATCTTCTTTGTCCATTTGTATTAAATCAAA